GAGCCGAGCAAACCCAAGCTCGGCTCAGCTCGGTTCATTTGCAGCCCTATCAGAGACATTGGAATCGGGTTAAACACATTTTGCGTTACCTTCATGGAACAACTAATACGGGGTTGTTTTATAAAAGGAAATCAAAGCCCCGGTTGATCGGATATGCAGATGCAGGTTATCCTTCTGACCCACATACAGCCCGATCATAAAATAAGGTACTTGGTTATTTATGGTGATACTGCTATATTATGACGATCTATGAAACAGATCATGATTTTAACTTCCTTAAATCATTTTGAGATACTCGTAATTCATGAAGTAGGTCAAGAGTGTGTTTGGTTTAGATTTGTTATACAACATATTCGGGAATCATGTGGACTCTCCTCAATTAAAAAGAGTCCAACAATATTATATGAAAATAATACAGCATGTATTGCATAGGTAAGGAGAGGTTACATAAAAAGTGATAGAATCAAGCACATTTCATTAAAATTCTTTTCCACACATGAGCTCTAAAAGAGCTGTGATATTGATGTTTAGCAGATACGCTTGAGTGATATTCTAACAGATTTATTCACTAAAGCGCTTGAGTGATATTCTAACAGATTTATTCACTAAAGCGCTTCCAAATACAACATTCAAGAAACTGGTGCATAATATTAGAATGCGTCGACTCAATGATAGTTAATGCTGAATGAGGAAGAGCAATTGAATTGAAAATGAATTGGTATATTGTACTTTTTTTTCTTTGCTATAGTTTTTCCCATTGTGTTTTCCTTACAAGGTTTTAATAAGGTAGTTTTAACTTATGTAATATCATTTTCAGACACACAAGAATATTGTACTTTTTTTTCTTTTGTTAAATTTTTATCCCACTGATTTTTCTTAGTAAGGTTTTAATGAGGCATATTCTTAGTATAATACGATGGATCCCAAGGGAGAGTGGGGCCCATGCATTAAAGATTTGGCACCAATTATATGTGCTAAAGGATGTCAAAAGAAGAAAAATATGAAGATTGTGTATATGGGCGTGGAAAGTAAATAAGAAGTCAGGGAAAAGAATAGTAAAAAGTGGGAAAAATCTGCTTATAAATATGCATGTATTGTGTTGAGTTCAACACATCGAAAAAGAAGAAATCGTATAAAGCTAGTTCCCTGCTTTTTCCTTTTCATTTCGTGTGTTATATGTTTCTTACTCTATATTTATAAAAAACTTTTTCTTTTATTATATATTTTATTTTTTTAGTCAATATTGTCTGTCTAACAGACAAATCAGGTTTGGCCACATAGTGAGACACACAGCTTGAAATGTTTTTTTTTTTTTTGAATGGTCACAGCTTGAAATGTTCACAATCTACAAGATTAAATATTAGGCTGAAACTAATATTCACAAAATTATGGTCAACCTTCGTGAAGTTTCCACCAAAGATACAATCAGGCTTCTATCTGTCAACTGGTTGTTAGTGCTGCAAAGATTGTAATTTCAATGCCGAAAAAACCTTTAACTGGATGAGATTACACATTTACCCTTTGATCATTTTTAATGACCGTAAGAATTATTATTTATTTTATGTCTATTAAAAAAATATTCTAAAACTAACACATGCAGTCAGAATATCAAGATTTGCTAAGATTTGAATTTCAAAATGAAATTCTTAGGGTTCGTAATCAAGTGAAATGGTTTTTGGAAAAAAAAAATTTGAAATTCTAAAATATATAGTGTCCTGAAATCCCATATATAAATTTGTGACTTACACAATTTTTTCTTTTCTTTAATGAAACATGAGATTGCTATTGTAATTATTTGATGGGACAAAAAAGAAATCAAATTTTTTGATGAAAATTTTAAATTAGTTAACTTATAGGTTTGTAATTTACACAATTTTACTTTCTCTTAACGAAAAATAAAATTTTAATTCTGATTATTACGGATAAAATGATAACAAAAATATTTATTTTACAATTAAATTCTAGCTTATTCCAAGTATATAAATGTAATTCCATATCAAATCCAGTCAATTTTATTATTATTGTTTTTTTTATACCCTCGAAAAAGAAGAGAGAGTGTGTGCATGTGTGTTTTTCCAAACAATGTGTCGGTCTCTCCAATCTATTTCGGCATCACCAATCCCCTCCAAAGAATATTCAACAAAGTGGTCCGGAAAAATTCACATGAAAACAACCCAACGAAAGAAATTCAAATGTGTAGCAAATAATTTGGTTAAGCATGATTTTATTTTTTATTTTTTACTTTTTATTTTTTATTTTTTTTTTGAGGTTAAAATTATAAAACTCTCACTACTTTTATTTATTATTATTTTTTTTCCATAAAATCTCAACCTTTTTCAAAGTTCATACACCTTTAAAAATACATTGCCCTAATATTCGTATCTGACCCGTTAACTGATTATGATGACAAATTTAACTTTACTATTTAATATTAAATGAGCAAAAAAAAATATTTAATGTTAAATTAAAAATTATTTTTTAAAATTACAAAAATACCCTTTAATCTTCTTCATCACTCCTTCTCTCTCTCAAATTCTCACCCCTCTCTCTCTCTCCCTCAAACATAATTTTTGTAATTTAAAAAAATAATTTTTAGTTTTAAATTTAACATTAACTATTAAGGTTAAATTTATCATTTCATAGTACGATTAACGAGTCGGATACGAATATTGGGGCAATATGATCACATTTTAAAAGTGTAGAATTTTTTTTTGAAACAAGTTGGGATTTTTTTATCAAAATTTAAAAGTAGTAGTAGTTTTATGATTTTAACCCTTTCTTTTTTAACAAAATTATGAAAAGGTATGAAAGTTACAAATATATATATATATATATATATATATATATATATATATATATAAATTATAATTATTGTTTCCTTAATCACATATGAATAGAGTCTGCCACACAAATTATCTTTCTCTAATCTTAAATTGTCCATATTTTTATTTAGAATGATAATCAATCTAAATAAATAATTTTTATGACATTCTAAAAGACATATGAATCATTACACTATTTTTTTACAAAAAATATGCATAAACATATTTTAGTTTAGAATGGCCCTGAGTTCACACAACTTTCTCACGAAAGTAAAAAAAAAAATTTTAGAAATAAATTATCGAAAATTAAATTTGTAAAAAAAAAAATAATAATAAAAATAAAAAAATAAAAAAAAATAAAACCCCTCAAAAAGCCATGTTGTGACAGGGTAACGTAGACGTGGAAAATTTTAAAAATAGGGGTTTGCTCTGTCACATTTACGAAAGCTGTGGAGGTAATAAAAGACAGAGACACCAAATACCACCAACCCCAAACAAACAAACAAACAAAAATATGCATGGGTGTGGTTGTTTTGAGTTCGCTTTAAAAAAATACAAAGCTTTGTCAACATCGAACACATACGTTACATGTTTGTTTACACGAGTCTACGAAAAGGAAACTAACAAGCTGTAATGGTTAATTTCCACGCTAATAAGCTAACTTTGGACAATTGCGCACCACGTGGTGGGTTATATATACAAATACGTTGATGAATATAATTGCACAAAATACTATTTTATTTCTATTTTGAGTAAAGTATCCTTATCATCATCGTCGTCATCATCAATTTTATGTGATGACCCTGATTCATTTGATATAAAATTCACATATTTAAGTATATATACATACATTTATTTGATGCTTTCTTAATTATACATAAATTTGTACTTGGGTTAAAATTTATAGTAATAGAATATATTAGGGGTATTCTTTCTGAACTTAAATTCTCTAAATTAAATATTCTTTAACACGGAGACAAAAGTTGGTGAAACTTCCTACACTTAGGAACCTTAGATGCTTTTCAGAAAAGGGAATTCTTGCCCGAAACGAACCTCCACGAAGGCAGGCTAACTAAGTGTTTTGAACTTGCATTTCATGAATTGATGAAGAATTATATCTGTATAAGGAAATAAAGTAAAGGGATGAAATAGGGAGAACCCTTAGAGAGGAAGAGAACGTGTGTTAAAGCGCATGAGAAGTGCCATTGAAGAGAAGAGTTGGGGCCGAGGATAAAGATCTGGATAACAAGTCTAACCCTTCAGAGTTGCTTTCGAACCTCTATCCTGTATTGAATTCGATACGCTATTGGTGTTAAATCACGTCATCTAATTTAAAGAAAGTTTGAAAATTGTTCCATTTTGAGATAAGAAAAAATTATTAAAGTTTAAAAAGGGCACCATTTTGAATTAAGAAAAATTCACTATATTCGAACAAACTTTTAATGTTATTATATCTTCCTCATCTTTTTTTAAAAAAATCCCCCCTCTCTCTCCTCTTGCTCATTTCAATGAATATGTAAATGGATATTGACAAAGTTAGGAAAATACAATCAAAAACCCTATATATAGAAAAGATGAGAGAGAACATCTGTCAGATTAAAAGAGAAACAGAGCCCTATATATATTCTAAATATTTAAATTTTCATTTGGAAAAAAAAATAAATAAAAATTTATTATATTAATTGTTGGAACAGTGTTAATCATTAGCTATTCTATATAAGATATATAATTGCTAATTTTCAAATTGGTTTACTTATTTAGTAGGAATAATTCTATTAGGGCCGATACATGTGCTAAAAAAATAAAAAGAAAAAAAAAATACTGGTGTTTTATCTGGCCGAGTAATTCTATTGGGTGATGGTTAAAGAAAGCGGTTTAGAAAATTAGAAAAGCTTAATTTGTAAAATCAATTCGATATTTTGCGGATAGAATTAATTTGGATTAAATTATTTTACAAATTGAATTTGATTTTTATTTTCACCAATTCCAAACCATGAATGAATTAGGTTTAATGCTTAATCACCATAATTACATTTTACCGGAAGAGCACTTTCGTCATTTCCTAATGACTTGGAAAATTCAGACCCACACGATTGAATTGAACAATCTCGACTGAACGTCCTCGTGGGCCCCACACTCTCTCTCCTCTCTCTCTCTAAAAGGCCCCGCCGTCTCCCAAACCTCAGCAAAGTAGTACATTTTCGAGCTGCCAATACTGAGATCTCTGACGATGGGCGTGCGGGTTTAGGTAAGCTTCGCGGGAAGCGCACGTTAGCATCCGATCGTTTCCGGTGATGCTCGGGGTACTGTGCGCACGACCCAAGCCTTGGATCCTCACTTCACTTTCCTTCTTCGCCCACGGCTCGGCGGCTCACCACCGTCTCGTCGGAGGCCCCGTGAGACTAGTCCGCTGCGCCGGCGGAGATCAGCCTCGGCGCCACCACTCTAGCGCCTGCCGGCTCGGCGGCTCTCGCGGCGGAGCGGCCTCCATATGGCACGCGATACTGCCTTCCGCCGGCGGCCGCTGGGGGAATATCCGCCCGGCGTTCCACCAGGGAGAGGGGTCGTGGAACGTCGCGTGGGACGCGAGACCGGCGCGGTGGCTCCACTGGCCCGACTCGGCTTGGCTACTTTTCGGCGTCTGTCCCTGCCTCTCGGCGCCGCTCGACTTGCCCGATGTGAATAATGACTTTGCTTCCAGCGATGTCAAAATCGACGCGTGTGGTACGGCCGTAATAAGCTCCGATGAGAACGATAAGAGCAATTACCGAGTCACAGGTTACTTACACTGACCAATATATATATAAATAGTATGTGTTTTTATGTGTGTGTACAGTATTTAATGTCCTTAATCTGTTCGATGAAATGAAATTGTAACTTTGACTTCAATTATGCTTTGTTTCTGTTATATATGTCTTATATCTATGAGAATTTCATTGTAACCATTTCTCTTTATGTTATAGATTACTGAATTTATCCATGATTGGTTTTGTTTCTTAAATATTGATAAATACTATACATGATGATAATACTATACAATATGTGAACATTTGATACTGAATTTCAATTTTAAATATATATATATATATATATATATTCCAAAATTTTGTGTTAAATTATTGACTATTATATTTTTGTTGATAATGTTTGTTGCACACTCTTTTGAAATTTCTATTTCTTAAAATATTGAATTGAATCTAGCATGTCTGATGTCAAATGCATCATTAAGGGCCAATTAAATTCACTTCAGTCATGCTTGTTGGTGGCATGAAATTGGAGTTGGAATCAGAAAAAAAAAAAAAAAAAAAAAAAATGATTTTTTTTTCCTAGACATTTCCATGCTAGAACATAGCTTCAATAATTTTTTTTGGAAACAATTGTTCAAGTGAAAGTAGAATCTAAAATTGAGAGAAATCACAGGGGTACTAGCAGATGGTCGATGTCTATTTAGGGCGATAGCTCATGTGGCTTGCTTGAGAAATGGAGAAGAAGCACCTGACGAGACTCGTCAAAGAGAACTAGCTGATGAATTAAGAGCTCAAGTAAATATAAATCCTTCTTAGTGCCACAAAATTTGTTTCTCTAGCTTCAGAGTTTTGGTGCAAAACCGGGAAAATTTATTGATTTCTGTCACAATTATGTTTGTGCAGGTTGTGGATGAGCTTTTAAGGAGGCGGGAGGAGACGGAGTGGTGAGCTCTTGGATGGTTGAATTCTAAATGACTTTGTTTTGGTTATTACGGTATGGCCAAATTTAATTTCTTTTCACTGAATTTAGGTTCATCGATGGAGATTTTGATGCTTATGTGAAGAGAATGCAGCAACCTTATGTGTGGGGTGGAGAACCCGAGTTGCTAATGGCTTCTCATGTTCTTAAGTAAGTTCTCCAGACTATTTTAGAAGGATATGAGTATCCCATGCAAACTTATGAAATTAGTATCATATTGTGCGGATTTTGTTTTGCATATCACTATATCAATTCTAATGCAAGTCTATAACTTGTGGTCTTTCATGAAAGTCTATACATAGCCTTACCTGCAAGTTCAGATTTTGTATGTTCGGTTCCTTATTTTTGGGCTTTTACATCCTAGAAATGAATTTTTGATGCCACATTGCCACTCTTGAAGATGCGCACACACGGGAAACTGTCGCGAACATATCACCATCAATGAAAAATCTTGCGATCTATTAGTAGTGGTAGTGGTGATGTTTCAGTGGAGTTCATTCTGTCTTCTATTGATGACCTTAGTCTCTCTCTCATGTTGAACAGTTGAAAGGACATCTAATTTTAATCCTTTCAATGTGCATCACCCGTAGGTACCGGATTCAAAGGATTAGTGCACCCCTCAAGGCAACATAACAACATTCCCTTGGAAACAAAAAAGAAAGAAGAGTCTATTCGATCACCATTATTGAAATAAATCTTGTACTTATCAAAAAAAAAAAAATCTTTGAAAAATATTGCATCTATAGTAATGGTGATGTTTCAGTTTTTTATTGTAGCATCTCTTTTGTTGGTGACCTTCAATTTTCTTTTTCTCTTATGTTCTTTTTAATTCAATTCCAGATTGAATTATCTTTTCAATATACTTATAAAAGAAAAATCCAGGTCTAATTGTTTTCGATATCTAAGAAAGATTTGAGCTTTAAAATTTTAAATAGTGTTTCAGTAATTTTGTTCCATTTTCTCTCTCACTATTTTGTCATTTTTTTTTTTTTGTTCTCTTTCTATCATAGGACACCGATATCTGTCTTTATGGTAGATCGTAGCTCAGGTGGCTTGGTAAATATAGCAAATTACGGTGAAGAGTATCAGAAAGACGAAATAAGTCCGATAAACGTTCTGTTTCACGGGTATGGACACTACGACATATTGGAGTCGATCTCAGACCAGACTTTTCAGAAAGTAGAAGCATAGATTTCAAGCAATATTTTGTTTGTTTTTTTTTTTTTTCCTTTCTTTTTCTTTTTTTTTCTTTAAGTAAATTAGGTAATACTTTGTTTGGTTCATTCTTTTCAAAAGTGGGCTAGGTAAGTTTGTCCACGCCAATAATTCGTTTTTTGGTTTTGTTGTAGACTAATCTTCATGAATATTCATCTCTCTGTACTGTTGAACTTGATGAAGGCACTATGAAGAGTTAAAATTTGTAGGTATTTGCCCTGTTTTGGGAATAAAGAAAGAAAAAAATTTGAGTTACAATGGCATTAATTTACTCTTGAGGGATATATTTTTTAGTGATTTTTTTTATTTATTATTTTATAGCTTTCATTTCCTTTTCGCTTTCTAATATATTTATACTTAAAAAATAAAAACAAAAATAATTAATATTAGGGAGTTAGCTGCCAACATTTGCATTCACTATGCATCCATTCTAAAAGAATTTTGTAGAAGAATGTTTAGTTACATGGACTTGGGGGATTAAACAATCACAAAATGTATCCATCTGTACATCTGATATTTATGAATATGATGGGACTTTTATATGTGAATTTATATATTCAAAGTATACTATTAATGCATATATTATATGTAACATTGATATAAATATTTACAAATGGATTGTCATATACATTTTGGTGGGATTTGTCCAAATCTATGGTTGGATGATATTTTTCATCTCAGATATGTATCTCTTAAAACAAGATAAATTATAAGGCCCTACACTGAGCCTTGTTCCATTTACAGGGACTCTTTATTTTTTTTATTTTTCAAAATTACTCTGCCCTCCTTTAAAAATAAATTTTTTTACACTGACTTTCCTTCTTAACACTTGCTGTTAGTTAGAGATAAAAATCATGATTTTATACAATTAATATTAATAGAATGTCAATATTGTCCTTGTTTTAAAAGATAAAGACCCTTTTCACATACACTATCTCTTCTTTTGTCTATTTCAACCAAAAAAAAAAAAATTAGAATACTGGGTTATATATCATGGTTGTATTTGAAGATTGGGTTTGCTCATTGCGTTCATTCATTACATTTTGGTTCAGTCTTCAGGTATCTGTTGAAAAAAAAGACATTATACTTGGGTACATATTTGTATATATGTACAGTGGTGGTATGGGAAGATTGAATTTGTTAAACACATAATATATAACACAGCAATCATGATTGTTGGAAGAGAAGTGATACGTTTTTCGACTTCAATTGCCCGACTCATTTTACGAATATAACGTGATTGAGAATAAGTCGAAAAGAAAAAAATGTTTACGAGATTTTGTTTTAAGTTTTTAACGTGATCCAATCACGTTATATTCAGAAAATGAGTCAGATAATTGAAGTCGAAAAACTTATTATTTCCCTTGTTGAAAATTGACTGTCTCAGTTTTGGGTTTTTGTAAAAGTAAACAATCCTTATAAAACCCTTTATAAAAGGTGCGTGTTCCAATTATAGAAATCATAAAATCAAATCATATCCAAGAAAGATCTTTGGAACAGCGGGGATGTTGATTTAACAATTTACTGATATTTTTCAAGTAGGAGACAAAGGGACCATATATATGTATAATTTTTTTTTTCATAATTCGAAGGGGACCAAATTGATTCTTATATATATATAATATATGTATATTATACCTAAATTTAACTTTAATATAAGTTTCATTATGTCTCTTTAGAGAGGGAGAGAGTGTGTTTTTGTTTTAATTTTGCTTACATATCCTAATTGATGGTATGTTTGGTGTGTAGGAGTGGAAAGGGCACATTTCAATTATTCTTGTATTTGGTATGCAATTTAAAGTGGAAATGGACATTTCATTAGAATGAAAATCCATTATCAACTAAACCTCGCCATTCAATTCCCAAGTAATTAAAAAAATAATAATAATAAAAAAAATAAATAAATAAAAATAACTTCTCAAAATAACCCTCATATTCCAAGTCCAAATATCACCACTATCATTACCACCAACACCACTACACCCCCCCACCACCACATCTGCATTTCATCACCGCCACCTCCAATGCCTTCCACCACCATCACTACCACCATTGTTGCCGCCTTCAATTACCACACCATCGCTGCCTCCACTACCTTCCACATCCATATTCGCTACCACTATCACGAACTTCCACCGATACAACTGCCTTCCTCCACGACCACCTTCGACCACCACCACCACCACCACCACCACCACCATCATTGCCACCACCACTGTAACCATTACCACCTCCATCGTCACCATCACTGCCTTCCACCACTGTTACCACTGTCACTGCCATAACCACCACTCTCATCGCCTTCCGCCACCATTACACCGCCGCCACCTCCACCTCCACCACCATCACCATCGATTTCCACTACCGCCCTTGCCACCGCCACCGATTTCTACCGCCCCCACTACCACCAACCTTCACCACCGCCACCGCTATCGCCACCACTGTCAGTCCGTCACCACTTTCCACCACCAATACTGTCACTTCCACTGCTTCTACCGCCGCCACTAACTTTCACTATCGCAATCGTCTTCCACCATCACCATTATCCACTACCACTGCCACTGCCGCTACCGCTTTCAACCACCGCCACCCCATCCACTACCACCGCCTCCCACCACCACCGCTGCCTATTAAACTTTTACCACCGCCACCGATACCAATTTTCGCCACCGCTACCGCCTTCCACCATTGCCACGTACTGTTTTCCACCACCACCACCACCACCTACTGTCTTCCACCACTGCCACATTCCACTACCACCACTATCTCCTTCCAGCACTACCACATTACTACTGCCTTCCACCACTGCCCTGCCTTCCAATACTGCCACTTACACCACTTCACTGCGATCCACCTCCACCACCATCTTCACTGCCATCCACCACCGCCGCCATTTCTTATATATATATATATATATATATATATATATATATAAGAATATTATTTTGTTGATATAATTTATTCGTCAATAAGAGGGGTATTTTGGAGAATTTAATTTGAAATTCAATTTATTCTAAATTTTAAATTGGTCCAACCAAATACTAGAATGGTTATTATTATTCCATTCCAACACATTTCATATTTGCAACCAAACAATATAATGAGAATGACCATTCCATTCTATTCCTGCACACGCAGTATAATTGTCTAGCACATCATCAGTAAAAGATAGATGTTGTAATTTCAAATGATTATTTGAGGGTCTTTTGAAAAAATGATTAATTATGTTAGTTCATTTGACGAGTTACTTGGAGGAGAGGTCCGTGTAACAAAGTTTCCTTTTTAGATAACCCGAGAGTAATTTTAAAAACCATATGGGAAGCTCCTGTAGCAAAGTATCCTTCTTAAGGAAAGTCAAACCTCAAGAGGTCTTGATGTCTAGTCCATCCCCTAAAATACTAATAAATTTGTATACTGGATGTGTATCTCCTAAAATACTAACAAATATTAAGCTCAGTAGCTTCTACTACTTTATTTATTTATTTATTTTGGCAAAACCTACTTTGTTCTGTATTTTTCTCTATTCTATTAATTAATAGTTTCTCCAAAAAAATAGAAAAAAAACACCTTAATATTATTAATAATTAGAATAAAACATATATGATTATAATTGTTACTTTTCCCAAGGTGTTTGTTATCGGACTCGCAGCCTGGGCTAGAAGTGTTTTAAAATTTAAATATTTTATATTTTTGGTTAGATGCAATTGAGATACAAGAAGGATATGTTTTGGACACTTCATAGTTTTGTAAATATATTTTTCGAAAACAACTTCTCAATGTAAGACTATTCAATTCTCCACAAATTTGTAATGATATGAATATCGTACATCGAACTAATTGATCCTATTTTTTAAAATTTATTACGTTGTGCTGTCATGTGTGGGTATTTCTTAGTTAGTTGCCATAGAGTTCTAAAGAAGAAAACTCTGACTATAAGGAATAAAGAAAGAATTTAAAACAAAAGCTGGTTTGCCCGAGAGGTTAAGGGGGAAGACTTAAGATCTTCTGCACATAAGTGCGCATGGGTTCGAACCCCATAGCCAGCAATATATTCTTTTTCTTTAAGATTTGATATTTTAGAGCCTCTCTTCTCATTTGATTTTTTTAAAAACTTCTCTCTAGATTTGATACAATTTTCTAATATTTGGAATTGGAGTAATGTTCTGTCCTTTTCTTTTTCCTGGATTTGTAAATCTATGGTATTACTCTGTTTCTCTTCTTCTGAACAATCTTAAAAACTAAATCAAAGTCGATGGTTGAACTCATTAAATCTTAGTATTCAACTTATCCAACAAGAAGTCTCAATTCTTAGCTTGATGATGTAAATTTGTTTTTATTTACCCAAAAAAAATCCTTCACTTATATTGTCTTTGGGAGCATCGAATTGGTACTTTGAAATTAGAGTTGAAAAAAATTCAATTTAATTCTAAACCAAATTTTCTTCAATTCCAAGTCAACGATTTGGTACACCCTATGTAGCATAAACATTATCACAATGCTCTCGCGAGTTTCCAAAGATGAGGCCATTCTAAGAGTGACTTGATAATTATTGAAATTAATTCATCCTGTGCCTGGCAGCGACAAACTATGTCTAAAACTTGGAATTCATGATCATATACATTTAAACTTTGAATTAATTCTCCTTCAATTCCAATTCCAATTCTAATTCTGACTCTAATTCTAAGACACCAATTTGTGAGTGAAAAATCTTGTGAAGTTAATAATTGCAGCACCAAAAGCATTCTGAAAAAAAACCCTTCCAGACCTATTTATTAACGAACCAAACAGATTCCTCACATCCCACAGAGATGAACATTATATCAATATGAGAAGAATGATGGAAAATCAACATAAAGCCAAAGTAGAACAATAATTGGACAGTAAATCAGCCTCTCCATGCCACGATATGCTGTAATTTTCTCGACAAAAAAAGCTCCCCAAAACTAAGAACGAACATGAATTCTCAATTTCAAGCTGTAATGATTGAGAGGTTACTAACTAGTAACTTCCTACGACCCATCTTCAATCCCATGAACTTCAGCTTCTGAGCAATTTCTACCCAGATTTCTTCAGACTAAGATTCACGAGTACAGATGACATTCTAAATATCTCATCAACGGAAAGGCTGTGTAAAGCAAACAGAATGCGAAGTTCCAATCAATTATCTTATTTTTATGATGAAAACAAATTAGTTGGAAACAGAGGTAGCAAATTCATACCTCAATTTTCTAAGCGTCGTTGCATAGATTTCTTAAGGATTCAGGCACAGTCTGCCTACATTGTTCAAGGATCTCAATCAATGGTCTTACTAGCTGTGCCTCTTCTCTTGTTAAAAAGCTATGCAACATGCCATTGACAGAGTAACGGGCCATCCTTGTTAACATCTGGAGGTAACTGTCAATTGAGTGTACAAAATCTGGAATAATTACAACTTCGAATTCTCCCAAGTCGGCAGTACAAATTTGTTCCGCATCGACCACAAGAACTGCAGATCTCTTTTTGCTGCCGAAGCAAAACAAACAAATTTGTTTACTATAAATATTAAATACAAGAACATGAAGAAAGCATAGTTCCATGGAGCAATTAAGACAAGTTTCCTATTTCCAACATAATACTCTCTCTTGTTTTGCGGTCAAAACAGATGAAACTAATTACCAGATTTAAAAAAAAATGGAGTACAACAAGTATAGCATTCCAAATTTTATTCATACATCAACAATGGGTAACAGACCGCACACAATGTTCAGAAAGGACACATTCATGAAATTTAAAATGCTTCATTGTACTTGCGACTATTTTTAAAATAAAATTATGGTTTAAAAAATTAATTCAGAATAAAAAATCTGAGCCATCATCACAACACTGGTTAGGAATCAACTTTCTGGTTATCTTGAAATGACCCTCAATTTTAGTCCATCATCCATGATGATGGCTCCCATATCCTGTAATATCTGCAATAGGTAACACAGTTTTCTCATTGAACTCCTTTGTGAGACAAATTACCAACATGCCAGTGGCCTAGCGGTACCGAGCCTCTACTTCTCAAAGAGAGGTCAGGGGTTCGAGCCTCAGTGGAGGCATGTGTGTGTGAGTACCCAACTAGGAAAAAAAAAGAGAGACAAATTGAAGCCTCTCAATTTTTTGAGTCACCCAAGCATGCATTCAAGAATGCTATTGGATGTGTGAGAACGCTCAAGAGATAGAGGGAGAGAAGGGACAATAATGACTGGATGCTTGTCTAAAGGATCAAAACAACTTCCACTATTGATCTAGGCTGCTAAATAGCAAGAGCAATCCTACAAGATCTATAAGTTTAAAACTTGAATAACATTAAAGACCATCAAAAGCAATCTACTAAATGAAGGATGTATGAACAATTGATAAGAGGTGGATAAGTTAATAGAGTTCATTTTACCTGATCTGCACTTCAGACTTGCTCCAAATTGATTTTGTTGAAACAGAGTAACCCTTCAACTTGATGGCAGCAACTAACTTATGAAAGCTGCTACCTTTTCCAACTACAAACAGCACCTTAGAAAGCTGAGGGCCAAGTTGATTACCACAAGCTTGATCCAAAATTTGTATGCCCTACATAAAACATTAAGGATGAGGGTTTAAGTTATTGTTAGAACAATTGCCAGGCAATCTGTATTGTTCTTCACTTCTAAAGTGAGGTTAAATCCTTAACAAAGCAAGATTGGGAAAATAAAGTTTCTTTGCTAATTCTGCCATAGATGACAAGAAAAACCACCATTATACGTTTTGAGGTAAAAAGTTACTGCATGATAGTTAGAAAAAAACCAATACAAGTCACAAAGTAATTTTTCTTGACATCTCAGGTAGAGGGTTGGTGTTTAAAAGATGTACATACCTTTGATATTTTTTCTTCTTCTGATCCACAGACGTGCACGGACTGGATAATGCAATCACTTTGACTAGTAATAGAATCATTAAGTGATAATCTGCAGATTGATCCCCGCAGAAGGTTTTGCAGTAGCGGAACACATTCATAATTTAAACCATCATTGAAAACCACACACTGGGGGTTTCCAGAGATAGCTTGCCTAATAGATTTAATACTGTCTAAGCAACCACTTTTAGAAAAAGTCCCCAGACCATCGACAACCTGTATAAATGGCAAAAACAATAGACCGGAGAAGATGATAAAGCTCAAATTAGCAAGCCTAGGAAAGATAATGTTACTTCACAGAATAATGATTGATGATAAATACTGCCAACTAAGAAGTTCTGGACTAGCTCATATTCAAAGAACAGTTGCTCAAAAAGGCTGAGACACATATTGCAGTAAGTGTTTGTGGTATTCAGTGAGACTGCAAAGTGAAGCAGAACGTTCAACGCAAACACAGAAAAGAATAGAAGCAAAAAGATTTCAAACAAGATTGGCAAAATTTCTTGCAAAAGCAACTCGACTACAAGTTATCTGCTCTTCTATTAGTGAGTTCACATTCTAGTAATTGACTTTAAACAACACTAAAAAATTAACGGGATTGCTTATATACACTAATACAGGATGGAAATTGAAAAAAAAAAAAATCAGTGGAACTCCAAGAACCATAAAGTAAAAAAGCTTAACAAAAGTCAAAGACCAAATCAAGATAGAAAAAGTTTTAAGTTGAAGTTCAAGAATTAAGGCAAATAACTTAACAGAAGTCAAAAGACCAAATCGTGAGACTAACCATAATCAGCACATGACTTGTGATTTTCGGAAAAACGGTGAGTCATACTCACTGGGGAAAATAAATGCATACTACACAAACCAAGGAGAGAAAAGTCCTTTTACCAACAAGGAGTTAGGTTATTTAGGAACCAAAAATATAAAGAAGAAAATTATAATACAAAAGCAAAATCCTCCATAGAAAATTCATGAATCATAAAAGCAAAAATAAATAAATGATCTTTTAATCCTTTCAAATTCTTCAATTTTATATCTATAAAATAGTCAGAAACAATAATGATAAAAAAAAAGGACAAGTAATTAAACTCCAGTTTTAAAGAGAGAGAGAGAGAGAGAGAAATGTAATTAAAATTTATAAATATAAATCAATTAAAGTATGAGGAGGAGGAGGTTCAAAATTTACCAGTAAAGAAACTCCAGATATGTCAATGGCTTTCAACGAAACAAGCTCCAAAAGTCTCTCAGTAGTTGACACAATGAACTCAGGTTCACAACTCTTTAGACTGTTAGAGATATGCAGTTTCATATAAGAGAAAAGAAAAGGGAGAGAGAAAAAACTTGAGTCCACATTGCCTAACTCAGAAAGTGCATAGCATATACACCATATACAAGCATTGAACATGGAACACTCAAACATGGTGTGTAAGCAGGTAGAAATGTGCCCAACCCGTATAAAACGGCAGCTATAATGCAAACACATGCATGCACGCAAGCAGAAGGCATTCCTTGCAGTTAAGAAACACTATACATTCATTCACAATATTTTCAGGGCAAGATGGATCTCCAGTAGATCAGAATAGGCATCAAGAATAACCCAATTCGTGCATTATATATATTACTACAGACATTTGTGCTAAGATCAATAAATTGGTACTGCAATATGTGCTTTGTTTCAAATCCAAATCAGATAAAATGACTAAGGGAACACGAATCTCAGAGCTTGACTGTGTCAAAAAAAATCAGTGGACTGAAGCATAAAGAATTCCCACTCAGAATGTGACTCTCTTCCAAGTTGAAATTCTCACAAAAGGCTATCAAAATGAAGGCCACCAAGGACATACATTGGTTGCATCAACACAACACACCATCAAATGACAAATTACATAAGCAAGCTTGCTATGTGTAAAGCAAATGCAGCATATTACATTCATATTCAAGCGTGTATACACTATACACAGTGTGCACACAGATGTAAACCATTTTCATAGAGATTAAACTTTGTGTTATTTTGGACAAATTACACGTCTGAAATAAAAATTTTAGCACAGTGCCAATCTATTGCACATGTTAGTATTTTAATTAAAATAAGCCAATAAGAACAGAAAAAATAATTGATGTTATACTTACCCATGAATTTGGTGATCTAAGGAAGCACCAGAATGTAGACTCACTGAATGTATTCCAAGAGACTTCAAAGACTTGCACACCATGCGTACCTGCTAGTTGACAGGTAGTTATCAAGAAACTATATTAGGCCTCAAAGTAAAAAGGCTAGAACTCGTCTTTTTCTTTCGGTTTATCAAAAGATCACTTCAAATTCCAGAAAATATTGTTTGCTATTCCAAGCACATGAAACCATCTAATCAGTTTTATCACCCATAATGAGTTTAATTTTCCTTTTTCAAAATTAATAAATGGGTTAATTGCTTAAAACCCCTTTACTATAAAAATACATTTCATGTTATCACCTATACTAAATTTTAACTGACAATCACCTAGAAATACCAAAAATAAATAAATAAAAATAAAAAATAATTGCAAGAAACCCCCTTTCGTCAAGTTATTGTTAAGAAATAAACTGTCAAAGCATTGGGACTTCTTGAAAATCCCAATTTACCATTTGGATTAATAGCATAAAACCGCTTGGAACTTATACAGTTCTAGGGGTAATGTCATAATTTCTTATAGTTTAGGGGGATTTTTTGCAATTAACCTTAAAGTTAGTAGTTTTCAAGACACATTTAATGGTCGTCTAAAGACAGTTGGGTTTGTTGGCATTATTTTGAAGTTTCCATAGTTCATGGGGGCTAATTTTATTCTAGGGCTAACATACAAATATTTTATAGTTGAAGGGGATTTTGTGCAATTGGCTCTTAATATATGGAAAATGTTTTGAAAGAAGGGAAAAAATGTTTACTTTCCACATCATTTGACATTTTCATGAAACAATAATTAGGATCAAGTGAAATTAGTTTTTTCTATTTTGGGGAGTGGCATTATGCAACATTCTTGCAATTTCCTCCACTATTTGTTCAGCAGTAACTCAAATTCCAGAGGTAGTTTTATCTTCAAATGCTATAGAAACAAGATGATAAAAATTTACTCCCAAGTGAAAGGTATACAGCTTAAAATTAATTGACTGAAGATAACAAAAAAGTATTGCCACTAAATAAGGATTATATGCATAATAAGTAACAACAATATTTACAGAACACACTAGGAGAATTAATGTCAACAAACCTTTTGCCCATTAAGTAAGGATTATATGCATAATAAGTAACAACAATATTTATTGAACATGCTAGGAGAATTAATGTCAACAAACCTTAGTGGCTTTCTCCTGGGATGGCACGAGGAATAAAAGAAAGGGGCTGGTGAATGATTGGCCTTCTTTCTCCTTTCTTACAATTGTATCAGCAGCAGTTGAAGCTATCCAAGAAATTTGTTCTATTGTAGAACAAGCTCCACTTGTCTCTAATATGTCTTTTCCAAATGAATAGTATCTCCAGAATTCAACTCCCCATGTGTCAACAAACAAAGGCTTATCCTCTTCACTACTTAAGGTTCCATCATGCCGCAAAGCATTCTGTATTGAATTCAAGCAGAGAAATAGAAACTTCGAAGGACAACCTGAATTGTCAAAACCCTGAGCTTGTTGAGCATGGTCTGCTTCACTCTTTTGCATCAGCTGAATCTTTGCTTTTGTTGGTTTGACAATGCTTTTCTGACGCACATTATCAACTGTTGTCCGTGATTTTGTCTGCTCACTCCCCAAATTCTTGTCCCTTAACATTTTCTGTTCTTGAGGTTCTATGTTTGCATGATTTCTACCAGGAGCCACTTTCCTTGGTGGAATGTTCTTGGTTTCCTTTTTTCTTGTGTCCAAACTCCCTTGTTTGTCATTGAATGGATTCTCAGGAGTAGGAAGGCTAAAACACATCCCCTGTGAGTCATGACAAATTCACACCCAATTAGTCACATTGGCAATATTTGTGTAGTTCAGAGGGTTGTATGACAAAATGACATCCGAAAAATAATAACTCTATCGTTCTCTACAATAGAACCTATTATCAAACAACAATATTACACAAACCAAAAAAGCAGAGATAACAATAGTTTCTTGACAAAGCATAGGTGACAAGAAACTTTAGTTCCATCCTTGCAAGCTACACTAAATAGGCACTGGTACATGTGTTGGGAATGGGCATGTGCTTAAGCTTTGGATTTGTCAAATCTCAATAGCCATGATATGGAACACGGCTAAGTATTCACATTGTTCAAAATGTTTCTTCTATTTTATAGGAAATAATGACTCATATATAATAACGTTTTTAAAAATGGCACTTCAATAGTTTTGACATATTCATAAGATAGGTTTAAGTAATAATGTAATTATAAGATGGTTTTATGTACAGTTATGTAATAAGATTGAAAAACTGGATATACTTATCAAAAAAAAAAAAGGATTGAAAAACTGGATATACTTGCAAACAGAGCATGTACTTCATTTATTCAGAGGAGTCAATGTAATATTGCATGCAATCTTTCTTAATTTGAATTGATTGATCAATGTCTTAAGCACATACTATGAAAAAGCTCATAGAACATCAGGAAAACTAAAACTTCAAATTAAAACCCAATTACTGGGTTGTTGCAGGTTATGCCACATCAATTCAGAACAACAACAAATTATGAAACTAGAGCAGCTCTTCACTTTCCAAATTGCATCGATATATCATTCAGAATGCAACTGATATTAACCTTAACAACACAAGTCATCAAAACCCACATAATAAACCAAACCCAGATTTTTCTTCCCCAAATTTTCAACTTTTAACAGCTCAAGAAATAAAATTTACAACCAACGAACATGTGCTCCCAAATCAAAAGTCTGGAGAATGTTGCCTACAAAAATTTGTGTTCCTTGATAACAAATCACATACTCCAAAACCCAATTCACTATGACTCCAAAAAAACCCGATAATCAAAACCCAAAATGCCAAATTAACGACTCTTAACAGGTCAAGAAATAAAATTTACAACCAACGAGCATGTGCTCCCAAATCAAAAGTCTAGAGAAGTGTTGCCTACAACAGTTTCTCGACAACAAATCACATACTCCAAAACCCAATTCACTATAACTCCAAAAAAAATAACTAAATAAATAAATAAAAAGCGCCAATAATCAAAACTCAAAATGGTATCGATTTGAGATAGAAATACCTGACAACTGCTGCGTTTACCGGACTTTCGACGCTTTTTGGCGGCGATTATAGAGGCGACACGAGCAGAGACTGTCGAAGTGTCCTTCTGCATCTTCTTTCGATTCGCTTTGTTCTTCTTTTTTCGAATTGCGTCTTCGCCTTTAACCATTTTTGGTGTGGAAAAAAACGGCAGAGAGGTTCAGTTGAAGTGAAAGAGAAGGCGGTTTCTGTAGTTGTGCATTCAAGAAGAAGTGTTTGTGGGTACTGGGTAGGTTAGATATTTGACAGAAAGAGCATGGGTATTTTGGTCATTTCAGTAGAATGTTTTTCAACAGGGAGAACTTGGGCTGGTCTGTTGTGTTGGGCTTTTAGTGGTTTCAGGTGTTTCAAGGTTGGGTCCATTTAAACCTTTATTTGGGCCTGAAATTAAGTGGGCAAGGATACAGATCAGACCAGTAAAAGCCCAAATAGACATTTATGGGCACTTTTGGAACTTCGGTAATTATTTGGTGATGTAATAAATATAGTTGAGATTGCTTTGCTGTTCGAAATTTGTAGGGTAAAAAAAAAAATCACCAAGGCCTGGTTTGTTTGGATGTAAAATATTTTTTTATTTTTTGGCGTTGTCGTAAAATATTTACAATAAAAAAAATATATATTAAGATTTAACAAAAATAACTTACGTATTAGTTTTTGACAAGTTATTTTACTCTCTTACAATGGATCGACTTAAACGTGTCTTTTCGTGTGGTGTAAAGTCTTACCCATTTATTAAACAGGTTACGCGTGTTGTGTCGTGTTACACGTGTAAGTTCGTGTTCGTGTCAAGTGTTTTAGACACGATTAATAATCGTGTCATGTTCATGTCGACCCTAATTATGTTCGTATCATAATCGTGTCGTGTTCGTATCGACCCTAATCGTGTTCGTATTGTAATTGCGATGACACGAACAAGACACGCCAACAACACTGTCTCGATCACCGTGCACACAAGACCTGTAACCTCAGTCACAGCAATTCATTGACTCTTCAAAAGAAAAGATGCCTATATGTCCTTAATCTTGATCTAGATTTTTACCAAATACTAAAATATTTTACTTAAAAAAGAAAAATATTTTCTTAATATTTTACGTCAATCTAAATAAATATTGATTTTACCGTATACTAGATAGGTTATAATTCGGTGCAATAAGACGGACACTTGCTCTTTAATTTAAAAGCTTATTTTTTTTTTATCTAGACAAAAACATCTAACAATTGATTATTATTATTAGTCAAAGTTGATTACTGTAAGCATCTCTAAATATGTGTGCGTGTGTGTGACTTTATGGATGATGATCGATGACTGAAATCTTGTCTTACACTAAGAAAGAGTGAAATCTAAAATACAGCAATGAAAGTCAAACAATGAAGAAAAAAATTAATAAAAAAGAAGAACATCATCATCACGCAAAGTGAGTGTCTGTGAGTCGCTGATCAATAAGACTATTTTTTATATTAAAAAAACCATTATCGGAGAAAGATGCATTACCCAATGAAAATTTCATCAATATTAAAAGGCTTAAAAGGGATAATTTAAAAATAAAATAAATAAAAACTTAGGGTTAGTTGATTTGTTTATCGGATAATTATTTTTAATTTTTTGGTAACTGAAAATTAAAAAGTTATACAAAAACTTGTTTGATTGACATAATTGTTTTATAAAAATTCAATTGTTTTTTTTTTATTTTTTTATTTTTGAATTATTTTTTATATTATTTATACAAAATATAAGTCCTTCATGAAATTTCATTTTATTACATATCATGATTTATCATCGCGTCGCGATATAATGGGTTCAGACGAATATCCATACAAATTGACTGAATTGGCTGACCTGTTTATGAAAATATGTAACGTTTAATTTTTTTAAAAAAAAATTATGAACTGAACAATATATCGTGTACCGATCTAGATATATATATAAATATATGCATAAATTAATATCAGCCAACTTTATAAACATCTAGAATATGAACCCATGATAACAACTCTTTTAACGTATATGATATATTTGTAGTTAAACCAACCACAAGATGTCAAGAACGAAATAAAAATATACTTTGTTTTTTGTCGTGCACGAAGCATTTTTCTAAATAAAAATATCCGTAACACTGTTCTTCAATTAGCATTAAAACAAGTTAATTTATATTTCTTTTAATTTTGCCTATAATATTATTGTGTGTTAACTTCCAAGTCTACAATAAAGTTGAATTTTCATAAAGTTGAGTGACGTCGTCTATGATAAATTTTCACAAGTTAAACAGTGTTCTTTGACTTGACTCTTGAGCCAACATCACTCGATCTCTCGTGTCCATATTATCCTCAAACCCAGGAACATATCTCTTATTGTTCATAAACCACTCTCTCTCTCAGCCACACACACATATGGAGATGGAAACGACTTTTGCTCCCAACTCTGAAAACGGTGCCGTTAGCTCTGCCAAAGAGCTCGACGCCGGAGTTCTGTTCGTTCTTAAATCCCGAGGTCAGATAAATATATAGATTCATGATTCTCTCTTTCTATGTATATATATATCATATACACACACCTACATACATATATATACATGTCCATTACATCAGGAGAAACTTCTCACTTGCAGTTGCAGCTGAAGTGTCATTATATGTATATATAATGTTATATAATGTACACGTATATTGTAATACTCAAAAAAAAAAATTAATTGCGCAGCAGCTTAAGCTGCTTAACCCATTTTTATTTGGGGTAAACTAATCCAAATCTATTAATTCATTTGATGATCATCTCATGAATCACATCAGATGGTTCAATTTCTCTATGACTGGCATTTGTATTATTACTAATCTTTCAAATGACTCACTCCTATAGAACCAAAGCAAAAATAAAATAAAAATATTGAAAAAATTAATCAGTCAACTAATGGATAATTCATCAAAAAGTAAGAGTTTTTTTTTTTTTTTTTTTTTTTCTTTTTCGGGTAAATGAAAAGTACATTAAAGATTAGTGATCAAATCATATCATAGTGAGCTAAAGGAAAAGATTGAAATAATTAAGTATTAACCTAATGTTCTTACACAAATGTGCATATATATGTATTTGTATTTACTGTTTACATTTATTTATACATAGAATGCATACATGTATGTTATATATGTCTAATTATATACTTGTTTGTTGTCTGTGTGACATATATTGCTAGTTAAATTAATTCTCTCTTTCTCCAAAATTGAATTGAATTTAAATGTACTCTGTGACTGGTGAACATGGTAGGAACATGGTTGCACTGTGGGTACCACCTGACGACGGCGATCGTAGGGCCGGCGCTTCTAAGCCTTCCCTTTGTATTGGCGTTGATGGGTTGGGTCGGAGGAGTTGTGTGCCTCACCATGGCAGCTCTGGTCACTTTCTATTCCTACAACCTTCTGTCTATGGTTTTGGAGCACCATGCAAAGCTTGGAAACCGCCAGCTTCGCTTCCGGGACATGGCACATGATATTTTAGGTATGATATATATCATGCTCAAATATATACATCTATATATATACACATATATGTATACATGAATCACAATTCAATATGACTATTCATAAACGATAAATAGTCCGAGATTCGGACACATCCAACTCACATGAATATATAGTCTGATGTTTCAATAACTCGTTACTGGATAATGCAATTTTACAGGACCAGGATGGGGCCGATATTTTGTGGGCCCACTTCAGTTGGGCATATGCTATGGTGCAGTTATTGCCTGTATACTTCTTGGAGGACAGAGCCTCAAGGTCAGTCCACCATTTTAGCCCAATAAACCTTTCAAGAATCAGCTGTTAGAAATGTGTTTAGCTACACACACACACACACACATGCATATATAAATTGTAAATGAATTCCTCTTTTTTTTTTTTCCCTCTTTGTTGTTGCAGTTCATTTACTTGGTCTCTAGCGCAAATGGTACCATGCAGCTTTCCCACTTCGTAATTATATTTGGAGCCCTAATGCTGGTATTAGCACAGATACCATCCTTCCACTCTCTAAGGCACATTAACCTGATCTCCTTAGTTCTCTGTCTTGCTTACTCTGCCTGCACCACAGCCGGTGCCATATATATCGGTACGTAATTAATCAAAACCCTAACGTTTAAGAGCTTCGTCGCTCTTAATCTGTGTTCGGTAATCCGTGTTCAATAATTATCTTGCAGGAAACTCCAATAAGGCTCCTCCAAAGGACTATTCTATCACCGGAGTTGGTATAAATCGTTTATTTGGTGCTTTTAATGCCATTTCAATCATCGCCACCACTTATGGAAATGGAATTGTCCCTGAAATCCAGGTATTTCAGTCACTTCTATGTGCTGCATGAATGTAAATTTTCAACTTCCATTTCTCAGCAGCCAAACAGTTCTTGACATAAATTGAACTGAATATAGAGAACTAACCTGCTGCCTGAAATTCATTCTTATTTTGCAGGCAACCATAGCTCCTCCGGTAACAGGGAAAATGTTTAAAGGACTGTTGGTATGTTATGCTGTTGTAATCTCGACATTTTTCAGCGTAGCCATCTCCGGGTATTGGGCATTTGGCAATGAAGCTCAGGCATCAGTTCTTCAGAACTTTATGGTTGACAGGAACCCACTGGTGCCCAAATGGTTTCTTTTGGTGACCAATATCTTCACTCTTTTGCAAGTAACGGCTATTGTTTTGGTAAGACTTTACTTATTTCTTACCATTAAGTAACAATAATACCTATCAGATAATGAGTCCCAATCAAGTATTTATACTATAAAAACTTGTTAAATGAGTTGGTATCACAGCTCTCCAACTGTTCACTAATCAAACAAACCTACTTACATGGATGCATCTGCTTTTGACTGACTGGATGCATTGTTACAGACATACCTGCAACCTACAAACATAGTTTTTGAGCAAAAGTTTGCAGACCCGAAGATGGATCAATTCTCGATGAGAAATGTCATTCCACGGCTGATTACCAGGTCGCTGTCAGTGATCGTAGCCACAACTATTGCAGCAATGCTGCCTTTTTTTGGAGACATCATGGCGTTGTTTGGGGCATTCGGAATCATTCCTCTGGATTTCGTAGTGCCTATGGTTTTCTACAATGTGACATTCAAGCCCTCCAGAAAGAGCTTGATTTTTTGGGGAAACACGTTGATTGCAGTTGTCTCCACCGTGTTGTCATTAGTTGGCGCAGTGGCATCAGTTCGTCAAATAGTTCTTGATGCAAAGACATACCGGTTGTTTGCTAACATGTAATGATAAAATTGACTTACTAGATCTAAGAAGGCAGTAGATGAAAGTTGACACGATATAGAGAGAAATCAATTGTTCTCAACTTTAAAATGGCACCAACTATGAATCTCTTGAATTGGAATCCATTTTATATCCAACGCTTTTAAGTGTGCAACATTTGAACATTCGTGTAGACTTGCAAACTGCATTGAAACTACTTGAATGTTGTGTTTCCTTTTTCAAGAACTTTCCTAAGCATGTCCTCTGCCCTCGTTTCTCCTATGGTTGCAGGGATTAGACACAGGAAAATGAACAAGTCTTTTGTCCCAAGGCCCTACAAGCTAAAGAATATTACTTGCTCTATGTGCTAGTGTTAGCTCTGAGTACTTCATAGCAAGACTGAATACATATACTAGCACGCGGGAGAAGATTGGATAAGTTGAAATAGGTTTTAATACAATCATTAATCGATTAGAGAAAAGTCTTTCTTGTAAGCCGGTGAGGTTTAAGAATATATGGCCATGAATAACCCGTACTGGAACAACTACCAGGAAGGGTAGTGCAAGGCAAAAAAGACATAATTTTCTTGTGACTAGGCCAGAGATACTAAACAGAAACTTTAAAAAATGTCAAATACCCATCAAATGAGAATAGTTCAACCATATTTAACTGTAAATTGATGACGGTTGTCCAAACCCATGTAATAATCAACCAAAAAGCCAAGTTTGTATCAGTTCTAGCATTACCACAAAAAGTCCATAAATAGATAATCTGGATTAATTAATCTGCCTTCAGCTCCCTTCTCTCACTAGCATCCTGGGAACTCCGATGCAACACTCAAAGTTAAGGACCTACAACATTAGCATTAAAACTTGAAAAAAAATGAAAATGTATACGTCAAACCACACAAACACATGCATTAACAAGTAATATACCTTCATTTGTCATTTGATATTGATGATAGAGAAGATGTAGGTGTATCATTGCTGTCACCATCTGATTCATGGGAAGCAAGTTGATGATAAGCTTGTGTTGCTGCACTCACTAGCTCTAAAGAACGCAGGAGAGGAGCTGTGGGAGCGCAAGCTGCCACCACAACCTGGTAAAAAACCAAAACCCTTATGAATGTAACAATAGATCACACATTGTGAGAAGCAATATTATCAGCAAGTACTGAACAATCTATATGTCAAGTGCAATTAACAGCATATATAGCTGGTTTACTATGGGAGGTTCGAAAAACAAATTCAATAATAACACTGCTAACAACCATCTACTCTAAAAGCTTAAACTGTTAGAGAGGGTGTAACTTAACTACATAAATCCTTCAACACGCCCCCTCATGTGTGGCCTTCTTTTAGTCCAACACTTGTTTCAATTTTCAATTATCAATGTGACGGTGAGATTTGAACACGAGACCTTTTGGGTCTGATACCATGTTAACTAACATCTACTCTAAAAGCTTAAGTTGTTAGAGAGGGTATAACTTAAATATATAAATCCTTCAACAAACACCAAGAGTATCTAGCGACGACCATGAGCGTCCGTCTTGCAAAGGAACAGAAACTTCAAAAGTTCCACGTGCTTCTTATTCTAGACATACTACTCAGGACATTGTGGTTACTAATTCTGTTACAGATAAACAATGAAGCAAGGCCTTACCATAATTGGACACGCTGCTACTAATGAGTCTGATACTCTTCCACCAAAACAACTACCATCTGCACTGCTCATCATTAACAGCACGTTACTTGAATTTACACCATGAGTGCTGATCGGATAGAGGACGCCTCTCAATGACAAAATGGTGCAACGCCCCTTCATAGATAACGAAGAGAGAGTGTTGGTAAAGTTTCAACATATGAGACATGTTGTGTCCACACCTTAATGGTAAAATATCAACATATGCAGAAAGATGTTAAAAGAACCTTGCATTTTTAGATTGAAATTCAATTTCTCGAACAACAATAAATATAAAATAAGGAATAGGTTTGACAATGCATCTTGGTTCCATTGTTAGTTGTTAAGATCCCGAGTTTCTACAACAGTGAACTGTTAAAAAAGTGGGTCAAGTCCTCTGCATATCACTCTTCCTATAATTACTGAAAGTGCTGAAAGTAAGGGCAGTGTTTGAAATTCCTTGCATTCACTATAAAAATTAAGACCCAATATAAGACTAGTCCTGATTATAGAATTCTATAAGAATCAGAATCCATTATCTAGAGATGCTACTTTAGTTATGAAACATCTCTTAAGTTAAATATTTCTAACGCTCACACCACTGGCTGGTTTTAACTCCCCAACAGTACAACCCTATAATGGGTTCATCAACCATTTAAACTGCTCCCCTCAAAAGAAAAAGTCCAGAAATAATTACTCAACAAACAATGCCATTTCAATATAAGAAGTACAGTTCAATTTTCATTAATTTACATGCTAGTGTTTACTATTAATTCAAGATATTGTGTAGGCAACCAACCTTTGTAAATGAAACCAGACTATATAATGGATTTAATTGAAAATCATGCAATGCCAACATGTAGATGGAATGAGACACGCCTTTACCACAGGTCCCATTTTGGTTAATCAAGTATATCTAAACGAACTATATCAGATACCAATAAAAGTAGTTTATTAGGCTGGAGCCTCTTTGATGCATCCCCAATAACCGCAATCGAATGAACAATGGGTTGCATTGTGTAACACTGAAGTCAAGTAACCAATATACGACATGTCAAAATCCATAACTAAATGAATAGACTAAGACTGCCACCAACTATTTGTTCGATTCCACCCAAAGTCAACCCATGTTATCATCAAAGAATCAATGTTGATCATCTGATTGTTGCACTGTGAGTGGATCGAATGCATCAAAATTCCATTCAATTTAATGAACTCAGCCAGACAAACTGCATTTTTACCTCAAATTTTGACCATCTTTTACAAATCATAGGAGTAACTCCTCCATATCTGATAAAGTCAAAATGTGGGTCGCAAAAGGGACTGTGAAAAACAGTTGTCTCTATACAAGCATGCATTTCCATTATGTAGCCGATATAAATGTAAACTAACAAAAACAAAAGGTTTGAGATCTTGCCTCAAATGTTAGACGGCGGTTGAAGACGTGAATACTTGGATGAATAACATACCCAACAGCAGAAAGAATGTAAACAACTTGATTGCGAGTTTGGCAAAATGAAGTTAACCTCAAAATAATATCCTACAAGTAGAAAAAGGTGACCAGGTAACAGAAATTAGCAGATTTTAGCTGATGCTATGGCTTTATTTATCATTAAATAACAATAAAACAGAAAAAATGTAAGAGAGAAAAGTGAGATAGCTTTCTTATACCGTATCTTACCTGTCCTGCATCAATGGGGATTAGGAATGGCGTAAAGTCTTGTATGGTGGCAATCAGAACCGAATTCCCTTCACAAATAAAATTTAAATGAATGCAAAACAGTTAAATATTTGATCTAACTATCTCAAAATTCAAAAATCATCTTTGCCATTGTTTCCGAGAGAGAGAGAGAGAGAGAGAGAGAGAGATGAGAAAAATGGTTTGTTAGGATAAAAGAAAAATCAACTTATAAAAAACCAAAACCTAAGGAAACCATTATCATCAAGTTCCGAACTGCATCAAAGTGCCTCCAACCCATGAGTTGTGTCTATCTCTCCGCCTTCTCTTCTCGACACTGTTTGTGACGACCTATGTGGGAGGGTGTGCATGGGCGGGTGCGATACACTAGCAAACTACCACACTGGACGAGCTACAGGTTCAAAAGTCTCACATCGCCTGGGTGTCGAAGAGTGAAGTGCTATATGTAGGTTCAACGCCCTTCTACGACACAACGCGTTTTAGAACCGTGATGGCCGCGAACCCATCAGAACCCCGGAGTTAAGCGTGTTTAACCTGGAGTAGTACCAGGATGGCACCCCTGGGAAGTCTCTGGTTCGGGGGAGCCAAAAGAGGAAAATATTGTGTCTGGTAGAGTGAGGGCCGTTACAAATGGTATCAGAGCCTCACCCAGCCGAAAGTGTGCCCAACGGGGACGTTGGGCCCCAAAGGGGGGGTGATTGTGACGACCTATGTGGGTAGGTGAGCGTGGGTGGGTGCGATACACTGGCAAACTACCACACTGGGCGAGTTACAGGTTCACAAGTCCCACATCACCTGGGTGTGGAAGAGTGAAGTGCTATTTATTGGTTCAACACCCTTTTATGACACAACGTGTTTTAAAGCAGTAATGGCTGTGAACCAATCAGAACTCCGGAGTTAAGCGTGTTTAACCTGGAGTAGTACCAGGATAGGTGACCCCCTGGGAAGTCTCTGGTCCGGGGGAGCCAAAAGCAGAAAATATTGTATTTGGTGGGGTGAGGGGCGTTACACTGTTGATGCTCAAAGGAGAACTAAACCTAATCTCTCTCGAATGAAAATAAGAAACCAACTAAATACAATCTAATTCGGGTAAGCAGATCTTGACCCAAGTTCAAAAAGTTGAAACTCCAGCTGAATTCTGGTTGCATAGTCTCAAACTCAAGGTCAAGTTGGGTTGGACTTGCACAGAGCATGATTCAGCTCAGATAACTGGGCTAAACTCTAGCCTGATACAAATTGTCTGAATTGCAAACTTAGCAAACCCGATTTGTCAAGGCTAGTCTAAGTTGGAGGTTGAACCTAAAATTCTGGATGAATTCACAAGCATGACAACAATGCAGCTACACTCATGCCAGCAAACATTTACTTTACAAACGCTAATTTGGTCAAATAAAGGGATCAATGAAGAAGAAGCCACAAATTTGCTATGAAAAATCAATTACCATTGCTATATTTTTATAATGCGTACACTGCCTTTAGAGTATTCATAGAATGAGTGACTTATCAGAATAACAGTTTCAACTCCCAAATCCATTGATCAATTAGGCTATGATTAAAGGTATAAATGCCGACATATCTCACATAATTGAAACCCATGCTTGTTTTTCTTACGACTGCCGTAAATGCTCATTGTTGCGATAATGAAATGGAAAAACCTAATGTGTAACACAAACTTCATTTCAACCTCTTACACTAATGCACAATTATTGTCACAAAAATATTTCTATAACGAACAATTATTATTTTTGGATAAGTTCTATCATGAACAATTTTAAGAATCAAGAATACATCGCACATTGTAAAAAGTTTGTGCAAATCACTTTCATCCATAACATTTTTACATACCCACATTTGTGAAAGCTGCTTCACTTGTCAAAACCTCAGAATTGTTGACTGAAGAATCAGAAGATGTGTTGTCCTCCATGTCCATGAAGAGCACTGCTCTCTGTAACACAATGGAATCGTATAATCAACAAGAAACAATAGAAGATAGAGTGTGGACCACATTTATAGAGATTCTGCCAGAGAGAGAAAGCAAATAAGAAACGTAAATTTCAAGTTCATAAGCTGTCCAGTTGGAAAGATTTGTTAGTGTTGTGCTTATCTGTTATTGGGTGACCAAAAATGAGATTTACATCCAACACGTGTTCAAATATATTAATGCACTCTGTAACATGATTTGATTTTTTTTATATCAATTAATACTATATCGGTAGGTTTTGCATTTTTTTTATGTTATTTGTCATGCTGTCTGGCCTATATAAAAAAGGTGGAATAAATAGTTTGGGCATCACTCTATCAAGAACCTTTCCCCTGTAGTGTTAAGATTCATGATAGATACAAGCTGCCATATTTAAAGTTCTGTTCATGCCCTTGTCGAATCTGATTATAGGGCCAAAGAGAAAAATATATATATTTGCAAGAGAAAAAGGTTAAAAAAAAAAAATCAGTTCCTAATTAGTCATTTGAATTTAATTTTATTCAAGAGAACAAGACAAAACCATTACCAAAATTGTTTAAGCCACATTAACTCTAACAACTTCCTGATAAGTAATCCATAATTGTGTTGAAATTGGCAACATAAAAAAAAAAAACAGAAGACAATGGATGGCTACCATATATTTATGAGACAGGTGTCGTTCATCTACTGCTTTGTAATGACGGCAACCGTTTCAACAAGCAAGTAGTCACCAAAAATGGCATTTCATACCACAATCATATCATGCCCTGTACACATCGTTAGAAAGTGGAAGATGAGGATTACTTAAATCCGTGCAGGCCCATTCAATGTGCGAATACAATCAATGAAATAGTTATACTTGCTACAAATGAAGGAATGCATTGATTTTCCAGAAAAAAAAAAAAAAAAAAAAAAAATCTCAATCAAGTAAATTTGCAAGATTTCATAAAATAATTTGATAAAAGTAAAAATTTGAGAATTAGGAAGACTCTTTTCTATAACCACATTTATTTTTTCTAACTTCTCATACCACGCAAGATGAAAATGCCAATGTCACATTAAAAACCAACAATATAAACTTCACAATCAAACAATAAACAAATTAAAATTTTAATTACACATATTTCAAAGGTTTTCAAACAGAAGGCTTCCTTTCCTTTTTGGAAGGAAATAAAAATAAAAGAAGTACCATTGCAGAACGTACACCACATTATTTCATGGACCACAGAGACCCAAAAAGAACTACTAACAAGAACAAATATTTCAAATTGATTCACCTATTCTTTCCCATTAGGTATGCCTAAATGAAACCCAGGCCCCCTTGGTTGTAAGAATAAGTAATTGTCCAATTTCAACATAATTGCAATCATAATATTATATCTCAAGTACCCTATCATAAACTTTTTAGAACCATCTTTATATCATGCTTAGTACCTTGTCCTTGCACAAACAGTTTTGAGCCCAGGAAAAGGAGGGTCGCGTTGAATACCTGGACAGTCAAAGTAAAAACTTTGTCAAAACTAAGTGAACATAAATTCTAAAATACATTTCAAAAAATATATATTTAAAAATATTTTGAAACTCTGTGGGCATAGAAGAATGTTTTTCAAAACTTAGGTGGGTGCAGCTTCCTAAAGTCTTGGAGTGAGAAAACCAACCGTCAAGAAAGCCACCGCATCTGTGTGCCTTTGAACTCCAACAGGTCTGAGACCCTCCCTTTCAAATTTCACAAGGCTCTTACTGCTACTCATAGACCTTCCTACATGTCAAGGCCCCCTTGGCCATGTGAATGCCATACAACCGAGTATTTTAGGGTGTAAACAATCATGTGGCCTAATATACCGAATTTTTTTTCCTCTGACAAACACATTAGAAGCATATTGCCTTCCTAGCATAATGGTAATGGCGTCAAAGAGGAATAATTAGTGTAACCAGTGTTATCAAAGGCCCAAGGCGCACTAAGGCGCTAGAGGTCCTTTGGAGTCTAGGCGCAAGGTGAGGCGTGCGTTGGAGTGTAGCGAGGCGCACAATTGAAAAATTAAATTACTTTTAAAGCATATTTATATTCTATAATAAAGGCACAAATGTTGCCAAAGGCGCACCTGACACACAACAAGTGCAAGTGTAGCGCCTCTATGAGCCTGCAGCCTAGGCGCGCTTTAACAACACAGTTATTTGTTACTGTTCACCAAGAAAATGTAAAGCCCTGTATGGACTTCATAGCTCCTTGTCTCAAAACCACAAGTACAAAATCCCAATCAAGTATTGTGGGGACTTCAATTAGGAAAATGCTTCCTCTCATTAGCATCATGGAAGTACTTTTATTGGTTGTGAAGCACAAATCAAATAATATTTGCTTTCGTAAGATGATTAAAAAATTCCAAATGCTAACCACGCAATACTTTGTATCATGCGCACTTGAACAAAAGTAAAAGAATTAGTGGTAAAGGGCAATGAGACTGTTTCGATGTATATGAGCTATGTTATGATGTATATTCCCAGGTATACATATGGGAGTCAAATCACAAATGTCATAAAACTCAACGTACTAAAAAATTTGGAGCACATCTTTTTACTTGATATCAATAGCTTACAATATACATAGATGGATAGATATATTTCTTGATAACAATTAGACTCCTCAAAATCATCCAATTAAATCATAACAACGTAGAAGATATAGATTAGATAGTCGTCCGGCACTACTGGTTTAGCGTCTTCCATTCCGTACTTAAATTTCATTCATTCTTTTGTTTTGATTAAGTAAAAATTCCATGCACTCACCACTCTGAAGTATAAGAAGTGAAAAGTGGGGTACTATAGATCTCTTTCATACAATGAAATACATTTATAATCATTTGAAATCCAAAAGTTGTCGAAGACGTTAAAAATATAAAACCACAAATGCTCTTCCATATGGAGAGAGAGATTGACATGCAATAGAAAAAGATTGGAGAGAGAGAATTCATATGGGATTAAGGCAAGAATGATGATGATGGAAATGCTCTTCCGAAAGTCTTTGGGGATGGCTATATAATATCCATTACGGTCCACGGATCAAGTGAATAAGAGCAGGGATGGAGGGAGATCATGCCAAGGGGGCATGTGAAACCCCTGGATTTTCTCCCTCCCTTATATTCTATATATGTTTCCTTATAAACTAGGGAAATATATTTTTTATATATATGTTTCCTTATGTTCTATATGTGTTTTTGTGAAAATGTATAAAATGCCCCCCTTTAATTTTCTCACCTCCCTTATATTCTTTATATGTGTGAAAACGTATAAAGTGCCTCCCCTGATTTACAAAATTAGTAATTTACCTCATCCCAAAAATATCAATCTCTCTCTATATATATCCACCTATCTCTCTCTCTCTCTCTATATATATATATATGTATATATATATATACCCCCATAAACACTGATTTATATGCGCGCACATTATTAATCCTTCTTTAATTTTATACAATTTTGTATATTAGTTTCTATTTGTGTAAGTTATGCTAATATGTTTTATTTGATTGTTGATATAAAAACTCCCACAAGTGAATTGTTGAGTATTATTAATGAAGTATAAGCTAAATTGAGAATTATGTTCAACAATTGGCAATCACAAGTTGAAGAGAAAATTGAAATATTATGAATGTATGTGTAAATCTGCTATGTAGTACATATATATATATATATATATATATATATATATATATATATATACAAGTACAGAAATTCTTAAAAACAAAATGTGTCCTAAAAATAATCCTATGTTGGAACTATCTCTAAAAATTAAGAATATGAACCAAAATACTAAAATAAGATAACTACCAAAATTAACTAAATCTAAGTCTAGTTTGATTAGTAACAAAAAAAATTGATTGTCTTCTTCTAACACTGAAAAACAAAAAAAGAATAAATAAATTAAAAAAAAGACCTAAATGATGGAATATGGACTAAAAACCGCACAAAAAAACCTAGTGAGTTTTTGAAAGAAAAAAAAAAATTATAACGTACATTGTGCCCCCTGAGACAATTTTCTGGCTCCATCCCTGAATAAGAGGTCTGTAAATTTGATAATTAAACGCTCAATGATTAGAGTGCTCAATGCTTGAGGATACTCTCTAGAGTCCTGAAAGTTCTGAAACTATAATTTCACGTTTCCATCATTCCTTTAAGTTTGAGCTTGTATGCACGTCCATGAAGAGTTCTTAGGAAAAATTAAGGATGAATAAACAAAATGGCTGACGCTTTGAAGAGTTCATTTACAAGTTACAATATAGGTTTCTCCTTCATGTTAGTCCATTACTTCGTTACTAACATGTTAGATGACAACAGAAAAATAGGAATGAAATGTTGCAATGTAAAGCTTATCAATCCATAGGAATCTGTAATTTAATTTTTATTATTTCAAGGAACTTTGATGGTAGACAAAAATTTATATTTTGCTACATGCATTATACCAATCAGTTGCAAACAATATTTTTTGGGAGTTCATGAAAAAATATAGCATCGCTGAGAACAGAAATGAAATGTTTGCAATATAATAATATTTATACGGTTAAAAATTTTCATAAACAACAATTGAATACAACTATAGAATGCAAAAGAGATGATCCTCCAAAAAATACACTGGCATTAATATTAAACAATAATCGCATACCAAAAACTTCCTAATATTTTTCCCTTTCTTTTTTGTCATGAACTCAAGTTTAGAATTAAATTACAAAAATGACATTGAATGAAGCATAAATATGAATCTAAAAACTTGGTAATACCATAAATTATCCATCAAAGGCACTTACCAGTTATCTCCCTTCTTTTCGCGTCACACCCAAATTCCCCAAATGCATGGTAAAATTACGAGCAGCAAAGGGTGGAGGCTTCAATGTATTACCAATGTCGGCCATTATCATAACCTATACAAACATAAATGTATGCATATATGTGTATATATAAAGAAAGTAATTTATTAACAGTTAAATAGAAACCCTTTATTTGGTTGCTAAGAACTGAGTAAGAAAACGAAAGAAACGTAACTGATTGAACCTTATTGGGCAATGTGCTGTTTGTATCGCCAATGAAAGAAAGAATGAACTCGGAGAAGCCGAATAGTAGTGTCTTTAATTCGTTTGAGCGGTGGATTTGTGTACAAGCTTCAAAATTTAGTAATTTTATTTTCCCACGTGTTCTCAAGAACCAAACAGGGGAAAAGAAAGTTACATTGAAGAAAAAGAGATTTTGAAATGCAATGATTTGATCGTGAACCTTGGCATCGCAATTGTCCAGAGTTTGTCAGTGTGTAATTTCCTTTTACGCTTTTCTGTGTGATTTCCGCCATTGAACTTTCACACACAGATGGTTTAGAGAGAGAGAGAGAGTCAGAAGGTAGTGTGTGACTGTGTGTGTACATGTCATTCATGGAACGCTTTCACCCAGTGAGTACGTGGCCGAATAGAGGGCTTTCCCCTAGGCCCAGATAGCCCGGCCCACTAATATTTAGAAGGTGTTGGTGTTGGTGTTGGTGTTGGGTTGAAAGGTTTAATAGAGTTATTTTAATTTGAAATTTTAATTTTGATTGTGTGCGCCGTGTGGTAATAAAAAATAAATAAATAAAGTATAATTTCATGTTAGATTTTTTTGTCCTGCAAAGCTTTAACCAAAACTCGATTATACTTTCTGAATTGCTATTTATGAAAAGAAAAGTATTAAAAACATTATTTTACAATTTTACATAAAAATTAACTGTAAAGAAGGATACTCTAGAAATTAATTGCACACTAGTGAAGGGTTTCTTTCCAAATAACAAACGAGGAATAATAGTCATTTTTATTTTTATTTCATATGAATGGAATGAGTGACATGAATTCTCATTCAAATCTTTTCTATTGCATTTTATTTTTTCATCTTTAATTTTTTTAATCATTTTTAAATACTTCATTTTATTTTATTTTATTTTATTTTATTTTTTAACGCCCTCATTCTACCTTTGCAAAACGAGAAATGGTATGAAGAAAATTTGTTTTTGTCAGTAACATATTCATGCTTTTGCTAAAATAGTAAATCTATCATTCTTTTTAAGCCTTCAAAAGAAATAAAAGTTTATCCTCTAATCTAAAAATTGTCATGTAAAAGCAACACATTTTATTGTTCATGAATAATTTATCAGTCATTCATTTTATATTTTCACGACACTCAACCACGTCCATGCAAAATTTGCTTTGGTAGAATCACATTAGGTTCAAATATAACAAGACTTTAGACATTAATGGATCTAATTTTAACTCATAGAAACTCTATCCAATTTTGTAAAAAATAAATTAGGTCATTAGTGCATTTTAGATTTGTTTGTCAATTTTAGATTTGTTTGTCATGTTGATGCACAGTTATACCACTCCATCTCTTCATATTTCTGAGATAGGTAAAGAAAAGCAGGTGAGAAATTGGAGAAAATTTAAAAGTGAATAAAGTGACAGTAACAGGAATTGGAGAAATTGGTTATGAGATAGGTTTTAACAAATTTCTTGGTCAATCAACGAAAATTGATAGTGATATCTATACTTATTTCCTTTCACTAAACATATTATCTCATTTTTAGTTTGGTAAAAGATACAAGTCACTATATGAATACCTAAAGTAAAACAAATAGGCCAACCTTTGGCGTACTTCCAACTCTCAAAAAGTGTTTGAAAAGTCCATTTAAAAAATGTTGTACACGGTTACACATATGTAAAAAAAATTCTGGAAAGCCAATGGTGAAGAAGGCCATTTCAAATAAGTAAGAAAATATTGACACATATGTAAAAAAAATTCTGGAAAGCCAATGGTGAAGAAGGCCATTTCAAATAAGTAAGAAAATTTTGCTAAACCTCCTTTTAAGAACCCAATTTTTTTTAAGAATAAATTTGTTTACTAATTTGCCTTGATAATATTGTCCTACATCATTCATTTTACTAATTTGCCTTGATAATATTGTCCTACATCATTTTTTGGTCCTTCGTTTCACCACCGCCACCATGACCTTCCGCCACCGCCACCACCACCATCTCCACCTTCACCGCTGCCTTCCATCACCACCTTGCACTACCACCTTCTACCATTGCCATCGCCACCATCACCCTCCACCACCGCCGCCACCTTCCACCACCACTACTATCGCCACTGTGACCTTCCATCACCACCGCAATTGCTATTGCCATGCACCTTACACCACCATCACTGCCATTGCCACCTTCCGACACCGCCACATCACCCACCATTACAACCGCCGCCACCTTCCACCACCGTCGCCACTGTGACCTTTTATACCACCACCATCACCTTTAATCACTTCCACCGCCGCTGCCGCCACCTGTAATACTCCTAATTTTAAAGGATAGTCTCGGTATTTTTAATTCATTACTTTATTGCATTTTATTTGATTATTTGATTAATTGAATTAATTAAATTATTTGATTATGTATTTAATTGAATTATTTGTTTTTATTATTATATGCTTATGTGGAATTTAAATCCGTGTATGGGTTTTTAGGTATAGTTAGGTGTAGGGTTTTATTTGATTTTAGTTCATCGCATTGTGGGATTTAGCCGACTTATAGTTGATTTAGAATTAGAATTAGGTTTGTATTGAAGCCTATAAATATAACATTATACGCCTGCATGAGGTTACAAACAAACCCTATTCATGAATAGAGAGTTTTGAGGGAAAAACAGAGAGAAATAATTAGGGGTTTTGCCACGAACAAAGACTAAACAAAGGAAGGATAATTAACGCGTGCTCGTGGGTTGAACCAGGAGCAACAGAGGTCGGTGAAAGCAATTAAGGTCGCCGGAGTTACTAGAGAATACGGTTTAAGGTTTCAAAACTGAAACCGAGGGTAAGTTCCTATTCTAACTCCTTCCCTTAAACCTGTGTTCTGTGCATGCCTAGGTAGTCTCCAGGGTTTTAAATTGACGTTAAAACTGATCTTTTAAGCATGTTTGAATTGAATTTAAATGCGTTGAATTAAACTGTTTAATGGTTGATACATGTTCTTGCTTAAATCTTGATTTAGTTGATTTTAAACTGATTTGAATTCATATCAATGATGTATGACACCTGCTTATAATTAATTCTGAGACATAAATTAAACCCTAGGTATTTAAATAAAATAGTACAGAGGGTCTTGCACATCGCCGGAGGCGAGGAAGACGAACAGAAGTGAATTACGGCTCTCAGATGGAGAGAGCCGGCTCTCACAAGTGTGGAACCGGCTCCATAAGGGGTAGAGCCGGCTCCACAAGGGGGAGAACCGGCTCCCCATGGGGGAGAGCCGGCTACCTTGTTTTGAGAGGCGGCTCTTTCTCCAGTTTTGTTGTTTTTCCGTGGTTTGGGATTCTATTTGATCGTCTCGGGTATTTTTAGGTTGTTTAGATTGCAGTATATGGTCTAAATAATTGTTCTGAACATAAAAATACTGTGAAGCATGACTTCAATACTGTGCTAAGGAATGTAACAACATAAAGTTAGATAATAAACTTGCATGTTGAGTGTGAACAGTTAATTTAAATTGTTTACTGGTATTTAGCAATTTTTTTTTCTCTGCATGACTTGATAGTGTTAGTCATGTTTCAGTAGTGTATTAAGCATAGTTGAATATCTAAAAATTATTATGCTTAGATTGGATAAATTGATGTTTTAATCTATTTATACTGCATCAATTATTGGACTATTTGGAGGATTAAATTGCTTAATATTATTTAGCAATTTATACAATTGTGACATGACTTTTAAATCTTGTATTGGATGCATTTTATGGCCATATACATATTAGACTTTGTTTATACTTATTTTGGAGTATGGTTGATGATTAAATTTATCATTTACTGCATCAATCATTTGATTTGTGAATTGTATGCACCGGTATGAGACGGTGGCATACTGGGGACGGATTAGTTCAAAACACTAAGTCCTACCTATATTGAAATAAGTTGGATTAATTATAAAAGTTAAGTCCTACTTATATATATGTATATGCACTGGTATGGAACAGTGGCATATTAAGGATGATTTAGTTCAAAATACTAAGACCTACCTATCATGGGGATGGATTAGTTCAAAACACTAACTCCTACCTATTCTAAAATAAAATGGATTAACTACAAAAGTTAAGTCCTACTTATAAATATGTGTCAGGTCAATAAACCTTTTGAATGACATACCTTGAACAGATTTTTATATATATATCTTTATGGTACCGTGATATGAGCTTGAGTCTCAGGATCATGGTTATGGTACGTATATTGTCTAGGATGGATAACTGGACCTAATGATGTTTCCTGGTAGGTTTAGGTATACATGACCATGTTGCGTGCGATTTGCATGTTACCTTCTACTTAGGCTGAGACAGAACTGTGGGCTAGTGAGCGTCCTATAATGTGTATGTATTCATATATGCACTACTTTAGTTATTATTGAGCTATTTAGGATGTACCTGCGTATCGGGTTTTTGTATGGATTGTAGTAGGATAAAACTTGCATATGGGTCTGACCCACTCTTATTTTTCAGGTGTTCGTCAGTTTCAGGCTTAGAGTTTGATCATGTTGAGCAGATACAGTCACTCATTCCTCCGACTACGTAGGATTACTTTTAATGTTTTTAGTTTTGAATTTTGTTTCCGTATTTTACTTTCCATTGGGATTTTATTAGGGGTCCACTAGATGGATTCCCGAGTTATACGAATATTGAAAAGTTTGGAATTTATTAGTTTTGACTTTTGAGGATTTTAATATTAGAATTCTTTTTAGCTCTATTATTTTATTCTTAATTCTTTTTGTATTCCTGCTTATTTACATATTAATTGTCTTATATCCCTCGGATCTATGCTCGGACTTGATCACCCGTGGCTCTAGAATCGAGGGGTATCACAGTTGGTATCAGAGAACTCTAGGTTCAGTGTCTCTAGGGTATTTCGTATTAAGACTTCCGCGTAACGTATTCTCTTGTTTAGAGCTTAAGTTTAGGATTCGTTGTATTCCTTTACGGTTCGCTTAGAACGTACTGAAGTTAAGTTTATTATGTAATTTCAGAATGTTTTGCACTAGGAAAAGAATGTGGTCCGTGATGAAAGCAAAGAAGGACCCAAGGAAGAAAAAGATTACTCCGACGATTCCTCTGCAAAGGCGGATCAAGAAGACAACATTGGAGACCAAGGAATTGTTTCCAATAGACGTTGTTTCAGAGTATAAGCCAAGGAAGGTTTCTGGTGTGCGAGATTGGCCATTATACTGTGGACCCAACACAACTTCGGTGATGCTTGAAACTGAGCCAAGTGGAGAGAAGGATCCCGAAGAAAATCAGGATAGAGGGGATACCGGAGCATT